CTCGCCAACTGCCCTTCTGAATTATTGAATGGGGATTTTCGCAACGTTAAAGATATCATTCTAATCGTACAGGATAAGTCAACATTACGAATATACCCTTTATTTTCTGACATACCTTAAAATGAGATAATTTTTGTTAAAGTGGACCGAAACCCCACACGCGGGGCTTGTTAATCAATGTTCAGCAGAAACAGAAAATTGTAATGCTTCTGAATAGCTTCGACCACGCAGTCGCTATCATCCAATCAGCAAGTTTCTGGTGGTAGTGGTAATCTTCACATTTCTTTTCTTCGACTGCCAACCAATGAGGACGCCGCGTTTGCTGTACCAACGTCATTTACTCAGAATGCGAGTAATAAAGCAGCTGCTGTAAGGATAGGGGTACATAAATTAAAGTCGCTCTCCAACATCCCTGATTGTGATCCGTAATGCACAACAACCGGCCATCGAAAACTGGGTAAAGGACGATTTTTGTCCGTCCCTGACACGCAACCGTTTAAGTCTGATATTTATAAGGAACGAAATAAATGAATGAATTAAACATTTTTTTCGGTTTAAAAGTTTTCTCAGTTCTCAAAATAATCTGAAACGGACTCAGCATTTCATTTGCAATAGGGGCTTCCAAGGTGAATGCTGCACTCAGTCCGTGTAAGGAAAATCGTAAATTTCTCTATGTTATGAGCAAGATATCAATAAGTACTCATAGCATTTTGCAATGGATGTGCAACATGATACATACTTTTAAGCGGGATTGATTTATGTAGAGGTAGGACATTTTATGCTCATATACTTCACGGTCTTAAAAGTTTCATGGCTAAAAAGTTTTCAAACACGAAAAAACAATTTCCGAAAATATAAGATATAAAGAAGACGTAAGTTCGTAGAGATTCTAAGAAAAAAGAAGCGTATGCGTATTTTCTACAAGATAGAGTTACATTTAATAGAGATAAAAAAATAACTTTGAAAATTCTCAGTTATAACGTAGTCCTCTTTTGAAAAAGTCTATCGTGTGGCTGCACTTAAAACGAAATTCTTTCAAAGGCGGTATTCCTACGTGATTTAAATATCTTGGGATACTCAATCTTAATCAATTAAAGACGAAAATGTAACATCTCCACTTATGCATCTTTTAAAAACAAAAAAAAACATTTCCAGCTTTCGGTTGGTGTTTCATGAAATGGAAAATCTAGTGTTATTTTAAATGAAATACATGCGACATCCGGTGTTTGAAACATGGACATACGCAAACCCCAAGGCATCAATAACATATTGCCTTCTGAGAATATGCCGAGCGACGTGGTAATTAACAAGGTCTTACTTCACAGACTGGCTGAGTTTTGTAGCAGTCAGCTTCAAGACAACCTCTTCGGAAATGAGAAAACGTGAACTGTAGCGTTGGCAGGCACTTGCTTTAGTTGTTAGGTTTCCGTCATCTACGAGAGGAGTAAATTTCGGCTAACTAACTGGTTAATATGTACCTAAGCAAAAAGCCTTATGTTTCGCGTTTTACGGATGGTTACTTTATTGTCGATTATATATTAGTATGACGACAGTATTCAGGCTAAAATCTACAAGTCATATGTCGACACTCGTGCGCTGTGGTTCCATGATATGATTTTACTAGCGTGGAGAGTGGGAGTAGTTCCGAATAACTGGGGTACGCATGTCTCTATACCTGTCTTCAAAAACGGAGATAAGACGAAATGGACGAAATAGAGCGGTGTAAGCCTCATCGACGCTGCCGCGAAGATTTTCAGAGTTGTTCTTATAAGAAAATGCCAGTTTGGCAAGCCTCTAGTAGGAGGGTCAATCAAGCCGGATTCTGAACTGGGCGTGGATGCACAGAACAGATATTCACACAGAGACACATTCTAGAAATGCGCCATGACTACCAGTACTTGACGGCCGTCTGCTTTGTCGACTTCGTTGCAGCGTTTGATTCCGCTGATCATGAGTTCCAGTGGCTAATAATGGAACTAGATGGAGTACAAACAGAAATCATTGCCATGATAAAGGCCTACTATGACTCCACCAATGCGCGAGTTCTGGTCCACAACAATATCCCCATCCTTTCGATATCCAGCCTTGTGGTCGACAACAGTGAGTTATGTCGCCCATTCTGTTTAACTACGCGATTGCCTGGATTTTTAGAAAGGCCCTACGCGATTTTGATGGTATGGAGTTTGCACTTGGAGTACTCCGATTATATCACTCAGCTATTTTCAAGAGTTGGTAATCTGCAGCTGTAGTGTCACGGATGAATGAAATAGCCGTATGGGTTGGCATGTCCACAAATATCAGGAAGAAGAAAATATCCTCTCACTGCATTCCTGACTAAGAGAAGGTCCCCTGAGGATTAATTGCCGTCATCTTGAAGAATTAGCTTGCCTTAAATATCTCAGAGCAAGAGTGCTACCGAATAGACCGAGTAAAGACTACATTGCCTCGCGATGTTGTCCATCAGGTTTTCTCAGTCGTACAAACCTTTAATGGGGCCAACGCGACACATTCATTGCTAGGAAGATCTGTGTGTGCCGTGCATCCTCCGGACAGTCCTCCTCCATGGATGTGAATGCTAGGCTTTGCGTGTAGAAAATGTGCGAAGGCTGAAGGTATTTGACCACCCCTGTCTGAGGACCATATTTGAAGGGACTGCGGTCCGCCTCACGAGGTTTGTTATACTGCCCTCGATCCGGCGACGCAGTCTACCTGGTTGCGTCGAAAAACAGGGCAACTCAAAACTTGGATCGACATTGTTCGTCAAGTCATACAAGTAGTTTTTGGAGCTTTGGTTTTCGGCCTCCATCGAGGGAGATGAGGATCATTCCAGACCCGTAGCCACTAGTTATCGCGTTCGGAGAGACACCGTCCGTGACAGCACTAGGGCCGGCTAAAGCGGGCATGATTACAGCCTTGTCAAGAAATAGTAAGTAACTATATTTGTTTCGGAAAGTCAAGTTAGGCGAACAAACGTTTTTTGATTAATTCATCATCACGCAAATACAATCGTATAAGGGAGGACAGAGGTAACAACATCTACTTGTCGGACCTCTTCCCCCCTTCTTCCTGTCTGATCCCTAATTATGACTAGATTCCGATCCCATAACACTCTTCCCTAAATTAATACTGATTGGTTGCTTAAACTTTGTTAACTCTACTCACCCTTATATGATTGTCTTTGCCTGATGATGAATTAGTCAAAAACGTTCGTTCGCCTAACTTTGCATACTGAGATTCATTTATCATTGAAACAAAAGCGCATTTTCCCCTAATTTAATAAATGCAGAGAGCCACTGGCATGCTGTACCTTACTTCGGAGAAATTTCGTTTCCCGACTTCGTTATAAATAGTACAGACCACGAAATAGTAATCAACCGGCGGAATTTTTTTCTGTTAGGCCACTCGCCTCATTCCATGAGGTTTAAATACCAATGACTGCTTCTAAATAAATTCTGGATAACGATCAATTATGTGGCCCCATCTGGTCTTCGTTTTTATGTATGTGGTTCGGAGGGACTAACTTGAAAACTGCTTCGCTTTCGCTCATCCCCGTCCTGCCTCCCGTACGCGATTGTTCCCAAACAATTTTCGAGTAAATATCGATTATGTGGACCCACCTGGTCCTTGCTCCCATGTATGTTAGTTGGGTAGGCTCATTCCCCGCCCTGCCTCCCGTACGTGCTCCCACTAGGGCTACCGTTTGACTTATGGTTGATCAGTGTTTATGCTAGAAAAACGTGTAAGGTTTAGGATTAGGCGTTGAGGTCATGTTTAAGTCCAAGAGTTATAGTTAAGCTTAGAGTTTGGGAGAAAGCTATAGACATAAGTGTAGAGTTTGGAGTTGATCTATCGATGCTGACAGAAAGTTGACACTGACTGCCTTACCTGATTCCCCTAGTATGAGCCAAAGTCTTGAGCTTAAGTCTTGATGCAGACTCTACGAATACAACCATCTATAGGACAACCAGTTTTGATAGCCAAACAGATATAATGCCGTTGTCTAAACGACGCGGACCATGATAAGCTAACTGCAGGCAACCTCTGTGTCCGCAATAAGTATAAATTTAGCAAATGCTCTGTGAACAGACAATAGAAATCAAGACACAGGGCCACCTAAAAAGGAAAACTTTTGGGAGCCGAAACGTGCACTTCTTTCAAATAGTAAACTTTAATAAAACGTATTGCATTTAGTCTACAACACGAAATGTTCAGGAAAATTCCGGAATGGGTTGTCCTCTAGAAAATATTACCAAGACAAGTTTGTATTGTTGATTCCCTAGCGCCAGAGGCTCAGTATCTTTCAGCCATAACGGAATGCCTATTTCTGATTGAGTCATTTTCAGGCCAACCTTAAAACCACACAGTTATATAATCACTAACGTAGTGCGCCGTAAACCCTTGATTTTATGTGCCCTCATACACTCAAAAATAGTTTCTAGAAAACAGTAAAAAATATCGTACACATTTGGGAGAAAATTACGTTTTTAAAAGGATATTTTATTTGGCAAAACTCTTTTTTTCGGAAATCCTTCTTCAGGCCGTTAACTTTGCAAATCAATGAACATTTTAACGTGTAAAAAAATCAATAGTTGTCCTAGGTGGGCGCCTATTGGCCACTGCGGATTTTGTCAGTCTGCGCAAGTGGTCGGCCTGTTGGGTGAACCACTGCCACT